AAATCAATATAATCTTTTGACTATATGATTCATTTATTCCCTAAAAGAATAAGGGTAAATTACGTATACAATCACTCATTTGTTTCTGTAATTTCACTAAATTCGTTTAACTATTTTTAAATCATACCTAACGTTACGTTTTTATTTTGTTTTGGTCATTTGCTATTAAATAATAAATAAAATCATTAACATGATATTTTTTTAAATTTTTATTAATAAAATTACCATATTTTATAATAACACATCAATATCATTATTAATTTTTAACCACATATAACTAAAACTGAGTTTTTCCAAACTTCACACATTCATAATGATTCGTCAAATCTGGAAAAAAAAAAAGGTGATCGTTGCGTTGTTTTTCCTCAACTCTTCCTGAAATTAGATTTTCTTTTTTTTCTTTTTTATTTCAATGGTTAATAAATGGAATAATAGAAAATGTGGAATTGCCGCCTTTACTTTTATGACTCCATTCATTTAACAGTTTATTCATGGTGATAATTGTTTTGTAGTATGTTTTGTTTTATAGATATCGTAATATTAGATGTGACATTAAAAATTATATTGGTATATATTCATTATATGTTTGCATTTTTAAATATTATTGTAGCGTCATTTACTAATTAAAAACGATTCATTCAATTTAATGGATCCAATTATCCAAAGGATTAATTACGCGTTTAGTACCTAAATTATCAACTTTGATCCATTTAGTTAGTACTTAAACATTCAATTTTTTTAAATTATGTCTAACGTTTAGTTTTTATTTCATTTTAGTATCCATCATTACAAATTTAACACGTTTAGTATCTGAACTATTAGTTTTGGTCTATTTTAATACCTAAACTTTCATTTTTTCCAAAACTGAAGTATGATTTAAGTACTAAACGTATTTTGATATATAAACTTTTAATTTTGCAAACACTTAAGTTTTGGTATTAAAAGTGAAATAAAAACTAAATTTTAAGTATGATTTAAAAAAAATAAAAGTTTAAGTATTAAAACGGATCAAAACTGATAGTTTAAATATTAAATGCATAGTTTACGCTTATCCAAAATAAAGATGAATATACACATTAAAATCCAATGGCTAATATAGGTTACTTGTACAAGCTTCTGTAACCTTCCAGTTTTTTCTTGTTTTCACTTTACACTTGTGTAATTCCTTGCTTTTAATTTAGTCTTTGTTCTTCTATGAACTCAATTTCTAGAATTTGATCACTTATCTGAAAATCATATTTAACCCAATAGTTAACGAAAATTGCTCTATTACTCCTCGAACATATTTTAAAATTTACTGATTTAGTTCTCGAAGGATTTTCAAAATGTTGCACAGTGGACTTGGTCTTTGGTTACTTTACGTACTCGTAAATGAGCTATTAGATGTAAATAGGTGTTTACTAACAAATTTAATCATGATGACTCCACTACTCGATTAAAAGCTAAACTTGTTGCTAAGAGATATGTTCAGACTTATGGAGCTCGTTATCATGATAAGTTTCCTCTGGTTTCTAAACTAACTTCTGTTAGATTATTTATCTTCATTGTATTAACTTTGCATCAATTAGACATAAATACTATTTTTCTTCAAGTGATCTTCAAGAGGTGTATATGGAGCAACTACCTAGTTTTGTTGCTCAAAAGGAGTAACCACATGTTAAATATCTTTCAAGACCTTTTCAGAAAATACATGCTTGAACAAGGTATTATCCATCAGACTTCTTATGTTTACGTTCTTTTTTAAAATAGAGGTGTTGAGAGAAAAATAAATCTTCTTAAAACTTTTAAATTTTTGTTATTCCAAATGCAGGTTCCTAAATGTCCTAGGGTTGGTGTCGTCTCTACTTCTTGTTTTTTCATTAATCTTATATTCCTTTATTTTGTCCAATAATATCCCCTTTCATACTATATTTCCAAATAAAAACTTGTTTTCTACCTAAGATATTCAATTATACTTTTTTTGTTTGAGATGTTCATCATGATCCTAAATCATATGTTTTTAGGGTATTCTCTTGATCATAAAGGTTATTGTGTTATCGTCCAAGCCTTGCTAAGTATGTTGTGTTTGTTGTTGTTACTCTTCTTGAAACAAACACCTTTCACTTTCGATTCAGGTTGTCTCAAAATCAAGTTTTTCAACCTCTACATCGGTTTAGTCTCCCATCAAATTCACTTTTTCGTGTCACCTACGTACAACTAATACTGCAACTTCAGAACCGTTACTTGTGAGTGTCCGTATTTCTTAAGACTATAAAACCATGTCTTAATGAGCTAATATCTCTGTCATCAAACCTGACTACTGTAAATGATCTTGATCTCTCTACTTCACTTCAAAAGGGTAACATATGTGGGCGATTTTCCCCAAATATCACCTGACAGGTCTTTATTTCCATGTCAGACACCCTTTCATCTTAATTTCCCGATCTAATATCCTTTACAGAAAGACGCGACACCGCGTCTTACACTGATATGGCGTCACGTATTGAAAGGCAAGGCCCATACATGGCGTCTAACGCAACATGTAAAAACTGGGTGTTAATTTTATAAATATTTTTTAAATGGTGCGTAATATGTAATTAATTTTTATTATGGTTCTATTTGTGTCACAATGTCAACTTTATTTATTTATTTTTTGTGTGTAAAAAAATTTTCTATATTAAAATCTTTAAATATTCTTTTTCAAATTATTTTATAACTCGATAAATTTTGATTTTTGCATGAAATTACGCAATAAGTATAACATAGTATAGGAAAACTTTGAGAGTAAATAATTTAAAATATGAATAATTTTATAAAAGTTTTATAACTAGTATTTCTTTTACAAAATGATAATGATGATAAGAAATATTTTATAATTTAAAAAATTATAAATTTCATATATTTTTTAAAAAAATTATTGACTTTTAAAATTAATTTTTTAAAAATATATTAAAATAAACTTTTAATTAAAATTGAGGGATCAAATGAATTATTATTCATTAATTATTATTTTTTAACAACAGTTAATAATGTTTATTCATTTTTAATAAAATTAAAATTTAATATTTTTTTAATATTTTTTAAATTAATATTAGAAAGAATATTTTAAATAAAGAGGTGATATTTTTTAGCTTTACATTCTTTTTTATGGAATTTTATTCACTTTTAATTCTTTTTTTATTGCATTTTTATTGATTTTTTAAATATATGAGTTATAATTAAAATTGATCATTTATCCTGCTATTATTCAAATTAATTAAGAAAAATTATGGTAAAATATTTCTAAAAGAAAAATATAAATACATACATGAAAATCTAAAGATTTTTCTTTCTTTTATGTTACACTCTAAACTTGTAACAAAATTCAAAAAAGAATGTAAAGCTAAAAAATATCACATATGTATTTATAATATTCTTTTTAATATTAATTTTAAAAAATATAAAATAAATATTAAATTCTAATTTTATTAAAAATAAATAAACATTATTAACTGTTGTTAAACAATAATAATTAATGAATAATAATTCATTTGATCTCTCAATTGTAATTAAAAGTTAATTTTAATATATTTTTTATATTTTTAAACAATTAATTTTAAAAGTCAATAAATTTTTCAAAAATATAAGAAATTTATAATTTTTTAAATTATAAAATATTTCTTATCATCTTCATCATTTTGAAAAAAAAATACTAGTTATAAAACTTTTATAAAATTATTTATATTTTAAATTACTTACACTCAAAGTTTTCCTATACTAGATTATACGTATTGTGTAATTTCATGCAAAAATCAAAATTTGTCGAGTTATAAAATAATTTACAAAAGAATATTTAAAGATTTTAATGCAGAAAGTATTTTATTCACACACAAAAAATGAATAAATAAAGTTGATGTTTTTACATAAATATCACAATAGCAGAAATTAATTACATATTTGGCACCATTATAAAAATATTTACGAAATTAGCACTCGATTTTTACAACATAAAACGCGGTGCATGAGTCGCGCCTTTTAACACGTGGCGTAAGGCGCGGTGCATGGGTCGCGTCTTTCTGTAAAAAGGTGTTACATCGGTAAATAAAGATGAAAGAGTGTCTGACAGGAAAATAAAGACTTGTCAGATGATATTTGGGGAAAATCGCCACATGTGTACCTATCCTATCTTTTTGTTGTTTCCTATAATCATTTTTCTTCTTATTGTTGTGATTTCTTTTCATTCTTAAATAAAGCTTTTGTCCCTAAAATTATTCACGAGACATCAACTTATCCTGGACGGCATACAACCATGCTTGAAGAGATAACTACTCTAGATGTCAATAAAATCTGGTCTTTGGTGTCTATCGGTAAACGAGCTATTGAATGTAAATGAGAATTCACTTTCAAAGTCCATCTTGATGGCTCTACTGCTTGATTAAAAGCTAAACTTTTTGCTAAATGATATGTTTATAATCATGGAGTGATTATCATGATACTTTCTCTCACGTTACTAAACTTATTTATGTCGAATTATTTATCTCGTTTGCAATAAATTTTGATCGACATCTACATCAGTTAGACATAAAGAATGATTTTCTTCATGCTCGTATTTAGAATTAGGTGTATATGAAGAAATCATTTGATTTTGTATTTCATGGGAGTATGATCGTTTGAAGAAAAAAAATTATATGACTTGAAACAAAGTCCTTTTGTCAAGTTATTGAGAAGTTTGGGATGCAAAAAAGTAAGTCAAATCATTTGGTGTTCTATAAAAAGTTTGATATAGACACTATCCTATTAATTGTATTTATGGATGATATTGTGATTATTGGAAGTGACTCCAGCATAATTCATCTTTTTGCATTTTTCTTTATACATAATTTCATACCCAAGACAAAGGATTGTTAAAATATTTATTGAGAGTTGAAGTTACATGAATAAGAATAAAATCTTCTTATTTAAGAGGAAATGTGCTTGATTTATTATCGGAGTCGAAAAATTGGATCCAATGGTTCTTAATTTATAATTAACTAAAGAAAGAATTACTCACAAACCCAGAACTTCATTCACCTTCTAATTTAAAACAAGCCATATATACATATACTACCAAGATTCAACACATAAACAAAGGCTACTTCTCACTAGCATCACCCCAACTATTAACTACCCTGAACACTACTAACAACAAAATAGAACAATAATTTGCACTGCTTGTGCTACCGATACAGATGAAACTCGGAGTCCGATTTATCCAACTTGCTCAAAACAGATCATGCTATGCTCAATGCTCTCTACCTTGCATCACCAACTTTAGATGTTAGAGCTATCCTGAGCTGCTCCTGTGTGTAAAACCGGCTCTCCATCTTGACATTCACTTGCTGTATCATCAATTCATTAACAACCGACACGCTGGCATGCTGCACATCGAGGTCTAGCTCCTCCAAGGCAGACATTAACTTCGCTGCTGGGTGGTTCTTTTTATTGGACTGGATTCGAACCATTGCATCCAATCCAATAATCTTAACATCAATATCTAGTTCTGCCAATTTGTAGCTGAGGTGGTTCGACATCGTGTGGCCTTTTTCTTTACTTGCGAGTTCTCTCTTCGCATCCTCTAATTGCTTATGCAACTCCTCTTTCTGTGAATCCGCATTGTGTAGCTTTCTCCTAAGCTCGTTAATATATGAAATAGCATCACCAAGGAGCGATGCTTTATCCATCTTCGATACATTTGGAACCACTGCACGCAGAGCATAAAACCTCTGGTTAAGTTTCTCTCTTCGTTGTCGCTCCGCTTCGACGTGATTCAAAGGCTCCTCTCTTCCATTAGCCGGTTTTCGTCCACGTTTACGAGGCCTCTTTTCAGGCTCCACAATAGCCCTTCTACAATCAGTTTCTTTCACGACTGAAACTTCGAGATCAGAGTGATCAGAATCCCCAACACCACCACTTGATTTTACCACATCATCAGGAGGCAGAATCACACCAGAAGTAAACGAAAACATCCCTTCTTCATCACTCCCTCTCGGTGTAGGCGACCTCTTCTTCGTAGAGTTTCCTGAAAACAAATTACCGGTTCCAATTCCCTTACTCTCACCAAAATTCAATATCTCCCCAGATTCCGGTCGCAGCAAACGGGAAGGGGAATTCCCATTCCTCACACTATTACTCCCATCAAAGCCATTATTGGAGAAATTCAAGCAAAAACTCGGTCCCTGCAGAATATTTCCATGACGATTAGAACTCGGATTATCTGTTAAACTACTAGAACTAGGATTCTGATTGCTAGTATCATTGTTATTGCTTTGCTTGAGTGCAAGTCCGATATTGGGATCAGTAATCCAAAGCGAAGTTGGGTCGCTGTCGCACTGATCGGCAGTATTATTAGCAATAGACCAGGAACCAGTTTCAATTCCATTATTGAAGTTAAACAAAGCTCGAACCTTATTCATCAGATCTGAACTTTGGGTTATAAGCTCCGTTGACCCCAATTCAACAACCCCATTTGCAAACGGTATACAAACCATCGTTTGCAAACCGAAAACCTGCCCTTGCTGCGCTCTCTCACACATCGAACCGGCTAATCTGTCCGACCCGACGACCCAAACCGGACTTGAATTTAAAAAGGCCTGCCCCGGAAGGCCGTTGCCGTTGACGAAAGACTGCGTCATGGAAACTAAAAAGAACCACTCGGTATCCGTGACTTCTTCGTCGACGGCACCATCGGTGGACCCTGAAATCAAAGAGTTGAGTTCTCTAAGGACTCTTTTACGGTGTTCTTGCTCCGCGACTGTAGATGAAGAAGCTTGCAGCTTTGCTTTTCCTTTATCTTCTTCCCCTTTGTAATACCCATCTCCCCAGCCGAGCGCGGCGGTGCCGGAGGAAACATACGAGGACTGCCAAAAAATGGCGTAAGTCCAGCAATTGCGAGCGCCTTCGAGGAGGGCTTGGAGACGCTGTTGAAGAGAGTCTTGATTGAGGGGAGAAACGGAGGGATGGGATTGGGCGGCGAGGGAGGACTTGAAAGGGTCGGTTCCAACAGCAGCGACAGGTGTGAAAGTGGATGCAGATGATTGCGGCGGCGGCGGCGGCCACAAAGAAGAGATGTCGGAGCTCATGAAAGCGTCCATAACTGATGCGTTGTCGTCCGACCAAAGATTCACCGTCGGCGGTAACTGATATTCCGTCATTACACAAGGTTTATCAAGATTTCTTTCTCTTTCGTCTTAATTTTCTTGTGGTTTCGAAGAAGAGGAAGAAGCAAATAGAGGTGGGAAATGGATATTATGGGGTTTCGTTTAGGGATTTATTTGGAGTGAATTTGAATTGAATTTTCCTTTTATTTAGTTTTTTCAGTGGTGGGTCGGGGAAGGAGATGAATTAGAAATTAGAAAGCGAGAACTAAAATTAAATATGGGTAACCTCCACGTTTAATACATAATTATCATTTTTGTTTTGTTTTATAAATCAATTATTTTTTTAAATTATATCCAATTTAGTTTTGTTTTATTTTTATCAATCACTATTAAAAACTTAACAATAATAATTACATGTCACTGTAAGATAATATCACATTATCATTGAAAATAATAAAAAAATCAAGTCAACAACTTTGTTAATTTTTTAACAGTAAGTGACCAAAATATAACATTAGATATTTTTTTGATAAGAGTAGTTGAATGACTAAAACAAAATAAATATAATAATTAAGATATTAAATGTGTATTTTATGCATTAAATATTTATTCACTTACTTTTATTTAACATAATTTAGTTCTTTTATTGTTGTAACGTTATTATGTTAGATGAGTGTTTAAAATCGGGTATTCATATTTTTGGGTACTCAAAATATTAAGTGTCCAAGATTTTTGGGTACTAAAATATCGGTATGTGTCTTAGCCCTTAAGTTCGGGTACTTGATAGTCAGTATCTGTAAAGCTCGTATACTTGTATTTTCGGGTGATGTTTACCAAGTTCATTTTTATAATTTATTTTAATTTAAATAATAATATTTTTAAAAGAATTCATGTAGAAAAATTAAAAATTTATAGTATTAAAAATTCAAATTATATAATTAAAAGATGAAATTGAGAATATTAAGGTGAAATAATTTAAAAATTAAGAATTTAGTATGTAATGATGAAATAATTAAAGAAATTAGGAATTTGGAATGTTGGATTAAAATAATTTGAGAATTTAGAATACAAATATATAATAAATTGAGTATCGAGTCAGTAAGTACCCGACTAAGCATTATTTTATGATTCGGGTCCGATTCGAAAAACCAGATAAAAATATCGGGTCAGATATCCAATCTAAAAATTCAAATATTTTAATTATAAATATATGGTAATTTTAAATCGGATTGACGATAATAAGTAGAATCATCTGGATCAGGTATTTTTTAAAACCCTAACAATAGTACAATCATGTTTATATCCATTCTCATGTTTTAACATATGATTTTTTTTACATATGTTTTAACATATGATTTTTTTTACATATGTTTTAACATATGATTTAATAATAAATTAATTTCGCTTTATATTATTTTTCTCGTTCATGTTATTGAGCTTAAACATATATAATAAATAAATATATATTATTTTTACTTAAATTGTACTCGTATTTTCAATTTTAAGTTTAATTCTGTACTATATGACAAATTATTTAAAAATTCATATAATCAAACATATCAAATTAATAATATTATTATCGACAAGTATTAGGTGTAACGGTAAGACACGTTATATTTAATGCTATGTTTAAATCTTAAAGATAATATTATTAAAAAAGACAAACACAAAACACAAATCTTAAAAATGAATCTTAAAACGGACATGATTATCAATAATTAAATTCATAAGAAAATTTATTCAATCATACTCTAATAACAATAAATTTATTTAGGGTAAATTACAAATTTCATCACTAAACTTTATTATCTCTCATATTTTGCTCACTGAACTTTAAAAATTTTCAATTTTCTCATTGGACTTAATACATTGAGATTTTTTTTATCATTCTGCCATTAAATAGTTAACGGCGTTAAAACAACACCGTTTAAAAAAAAACAAAATTTTCACTAAAACGACACCGTTTTGCATCTATATAAAAATCCATTACAGTAATTGGACTAATATAAAATTTCAACGTAATAGAATAACTAAACCAGAAATAGACCTTTTCAATTCATGTTTAATAAGTAAAATACAAACAATTTCGTTTTTTTTTTCAATTATGTATTTTATTTTCCAATTATGTATTTTATTTTCATTGCTTGGCATTTGCAAATGACAAGTAATAACAATATATTATTTTATATTCCAATTTGTGAAAGAAATATTCCCTCTATTGTAATTTACAATAATGATTTATAAAAATTGTTTTCAAATACAATGGGCCAAGAATTTACTCTCTTTTTTTTTTCTTTTTTAAATTCCAATTTTTGCCTGGATCTAATATTTGGACATCATATATATTATGTTTAAAATTGGAATTAAAAATGCAGCTAAAATCAATTTCTTTTTGAAAAATTATATTTCTTTAGCAAATATAAGCATAGAAGGAAACCTATATACAATGTTCCATCTCATTATAGAAAAATGAAAAAAAATCAGATAAAATTATATTTTTAATTATTAAAATTTAATACAGAATACTTTGCCCACAGATTTTATCGATTCCCATTAACTTCATTTTCTTTTTACTATAAAGAAAATAAAAGTCATTTAGGCACATTTTGCTTTATTCTTTGTAGTGACAGTAGATTCGATTTGATTATATATTTGGCTTAATATAAAAATAAGTTGCTAAATTATGCCATTTCTCTTAAAACAGTCTAAACTTTTTTTTTCCAGTCAATCCAAGTGCCTAACGTTATAAACATTACTATTTTAGGTACCTGGACCGTAAGAGCTATTCAATTCTTTCGTTAAAAAACACATGTCACGTTCTGGTAATTTTGAGAATTTTTATTTAAAATAAAAACATAATATATATTGTTTTTTAAAAAACCAAAATTCTCTCAAATTACAAAAAAACCTAAAAACTTTTAAAACCCTCATTTCAATCCCTCTATCACTATCGACCGCCACCATCGTCGTCAATCGGCCAAAATTCCAACGACATATGATCGGAAGAACACCCAATGATCGAAACCCCTACTCCAACCTCTAATTGCAGCGAAAATCGACGAGATAGGTTGAAATTGACATTCGCGAAATGTTGCACCTACAATGTCATGGGGTGCTCGATCGATTGCGGAAACAAGGGGGTTTTGGTCATGGATGAATAAGGTTACACGTCGTTGGGTGGTAGGCCGATTGACGGCTGTGGTGGCGGCCAACGATGGCAAAGGATTGAAATTAGGGTTTTAAAAGTTTTTGAGGTTTTAAAAGTTTTTGGGGTTTTGTTGTAGTTTTATAAAATTTTAGGCGTTTTTTCTTTTAAAAATTATAGGTTTAAGTTTTTATAATTTAAATAAATTTTAAATTTTTTTATAAAGGCAACATATGTCTTTTAATGACATAATTTAACTACTATCACAGCCTGGACACCTAAATTGGTAACGTAAACATTAGACACCTGAATTAATCGGGAAAAATTGGCTACCACTTTGAAAAAAATTATAATTTAAGTATTTATTTTATATTAATCTTAGATATTTTTATTGTTGGACACGTGTAAATCGCCATTTATGTGGAAAATACCACCACCTATCTAATCATATCATATCTATTTGAAACTTGTTTTATTTTATATATAGATTTCTCTTTGTCTTTCTTGATTAATTATTAAAGCTTAGCTACAATTTATAGTACGTTTCCTAAGCCTCCAGCTCAAAACTAATTTTTTGCAATTGCATACTTCAAGTCCCAATTTGCATTATTGTAAAATAAAAAAAATTAAATAATAGTAAATACATGGGCTAAAATTAATATTTAGAGCTTCATGTTTATATAAAAGAAAATATTTTCTATAGTTTGTGATAATTATAAGATCATATTTGTTCATAATTTTTTTAATTCATTGACAACATACACATCCTGTAAATGTAACTGCTCGAACCCAATATCTCTAGTGAAAACAACATTAATTTTTACCACTAAGATCACTCAATGACAAGGGCGGATACACTACACCCCCTAGGAGGTCAAGTGCGACCTCGTTATTTTGGATAAGTTATTAAATTTAATTTAATACGTTAAAGGAAAGAAGAAGAAAAAAAGAAAATTTACATACACATTTTGTTAATAAAAAGATATTATAATTTTAGACCCTGTTTATAAATTTCTAGATCCACCGCTATTAGACAAATTCATCATTCACATATATATTGTCTCCATAATCATTTTACCATTCAAATTTTGTAAATTTTTTTGTAATAATATTTTTAAAACATTTAAATATAGATTTATATTAATAAAACATAATATAATTATCAACACATTAATAACTAATAATAAATTAATAAAATGCAAATAAAGGAAAGATATTAGTAAATCAATTTCTAGTTATTTCATGAAAAGTCAAAGCCAATCATTCATTGAATGGCACTAAATTTGCTTTTTTACAAGATATGAAATGACAAAAGCTTTGCAACTTGCAATGTATTAATCACTTTTTACATATTCCTTAAGATTGATACGGTGAACGTGGTCTGATTTGTTTTTTTAAATCTATTAGTATCTAATTTTTTGATATAGTAATTTAAATCGTATATTATTGAGGTAAGGATAAACCTCTAAATCTAATTTAGTTTCATTCACAAATGATAAGGTTTTAAGTGTTACATTTCTTAAAAAATTTAGTGTCTCATCTCATTATATTAAATGATGGTTGGTTGATTTGTTTTTAATATTGTATAATATATAATATTATATTATAGATAACTAGATCATACAAATGAATAACGGTTTTATTGTGAATTTGGACAAAACGGAATAATTGTCGGGTACATTGCATGTATCTTGAATTTTAGTTTTTCTTTCATTAATATATATATATCTTCACTCACGTATTTGTATAGATTATGTTCCTCGAACTTGAATCAAAATTTCATTTGACTATTGATATCATCTCAAGTATTCTTATTAATATTTTAATATTTTTGAAATTATTTTTAAACAAAATAAAATAGCTCGACTTCTAAAAAACGATAGGAGTTATCACCGGTCAGTTTAAGTAGTGGCGAATCTAGAAATATTTTTCAATAACACACACATATTAATAACATAAATTTTTTATATGGGGTGAACATAAATAAATTTTCAAGATATGCACAATCAATATAATAAATAAATAACTGAATAAAATTTAGATTTCATGGTGGGCATGTGTCCACCCTCAGCTCAATA